TTTGAATTTTGTCCCACATTATTCTCCCACTCTATTTAGGGAGCTCTGGTAGCATAGTGCCTAAGGCACTTGACTGCTAACCAGAAGGCTGGCGGTTCAAACCCACCAGCCACTCCTCGGGAGGAATCCTACTTTTGTAGTGATACTGCCTTGGAAACCCAAGGAGGGGTCGCTATGAGTCGGGGCCGACTCGATGGCACATAACAACAACAACAACAACATCCAGGATCTTTGGCACTGATCCCTTTCCCAGCTGTTGACAGTGGTACCTGGGCCACCACATCTAGGTCTTCTGGTCTCACGGTCATACAGGCTAGGGTTCACATGGTCCACTAATCCCTTGGATTAATTGTTTCCATGTGTCTTTAGTTTTCTTCATTCTTCAGCAACAAAGCACTCTTTGGAAGTATTCTATCTTGGTAGTTAATTGTTTTTAAATATTTTTAAATTTTAATAAAAGGATTGGAAGATAAAATAGATATGTCTCACAATATTAAAAAAGTGAAAGTGGGGGAGGGGAGGTACATGTAGACAATTGGTTCAGGAGCCCACCATCTAAGTAACAAAATATCCCAGAAGATAAAACAGAGAAAATGGCAGGAAAGAAATTTCAAAGAAATAATAACAGAAAATAATTTCCCAGAGAGGAAGAGAGCAATGAGACTTCAGCTAGAAAAGACCTAATCAAACCAACTCCCAAAAAACCAGAACAGTTGTCTGATTCAACTCTGACTCATGGCAATGCCATGCATATCAGACTAGAACTGTGCTCCACTGGGGTATCAATGGCTGCTGTTTCAGAAGGAGACCTCTTCTGAGGTGCATCTGGGTGGATCCAAACCTCCCATCTTTTGGTTGGCAGAGGGTATGTTAATCATCTGCACCACCCAGGGACTCCATGAGTGCTAAATAGGTTAAATTAAAAAAAGGAAAAAAAGATTCCCAACTAGAGTGAAATGGTGAAATTTCAGAACATGATGTATAATAAAAATAATAATAAAGATCATAAATACCTCCGAAGGGGAAATAATAGTTTCCTACAAAGATGAGAATCAGACTGACAAACATCTCAGGGTCAACATTAGATGGAGAAGACATTGGAGCTACGTCTTCAAGATTGAAGAGACACAGATTTTGAACCTAGAATTCCATGTGAGACAAATTATCAAAGGTGTGGGCATAATAAGCACACTTTCATATTTCTAAAGGCTCAAAAGTTGTGCCTCCTAAATATTCTTTTAGAGAAAGTTACTTGAGTGATGATCCAGCAAACTGTATAGAAGAAATGGCTATTTGTCATCCAGGATCTAAGTGAAGAAAAAAAAAAAAAAAACCACAGGCAACTGCTCACCTGGAGGTATAGATAGAAGTAGTCTAAGAGCAATAAATATGTAAGCGGGTTCCTATACTCACAAAGTTTTTACTGAATTTCCCACAATGGACAGAGTGAGTGAGAAGTTGCAATATCATAAAGATAAGGTAAAGGCAGCTAAAAGAGAAAAAAAAAAAAAAAAAGGAAAAGTAAATGAAAGCAATCAGAAACTGCAGTAAAAATAATTATGAAAACTGTATAAGGAAACTACGATCTAATACAAAGCAAACTAAAATATGGCATAATTTTTTTTTTTGTTGTTGTTATGTGCCACTGAGTCCTCCTCGACTCATAGTGACCCTTTCTTGGGTTTCTGAGGCAGTATCGCTACGGAAGTAGACTGCCCAACCTTCCTTCCAAGGAGTGGGCATAATTTTATTGTAGTCTCAAAAGAAAAGAGAAGTAATTTATTTGATCTGGATATATGGTCCTTCAAGTAACACAAAGGTCATGCTATTGGACTTATAGAGAAGTACATATTGTAAAATATTGGTGCACTATTTGACTCTTTAATAAATGATATTTAAATAGCCATAATAATGCAATTCCTTTACAACTTTCCCTCTTTTGCAATTAAAGTTTAAAAAAGACATGGACAACTTATATATGTTTACAGAACAGAGAGAAAATGTCATAAAAAATATAAAAGCTAATGGGTTTACCTGAGAAAATTTGGCAGAATAGAGGAGGAACACAGAGTTGAAGGGGCACTAACATCTTCAACCCTAAAAAGTCAAGATTCACTATCAGAAACTGAAGCAATAAGAAATAGAAATTATAAGTCTATTAGTTAAAGGTAATAATAATACCAATGTAACTGTAAAAATTAGATGTGGGAAATAGTGAAGAAAATTTTCGATTTTCTGCTTTTAAAAAAAGAATGACTCAATAAATGGATGCATTTGTATAATACTGTCTTAGGCTGGATTCCTCAGAGAAGCAAAACCAGTGAGGCTTATATATATCTATATATAGAGAGATTTATCTCAAGGAAATGGCTCACATGGTTGTAGAGGCTGGCAAGTCCCAAGTCCATGCATCAGATTTAGTCTGGAGGCTTCCCTTGACTCATAACTGCAGGGGCTGACGAACCCAAGATCAGCATGTCAAGCTGCTCCTCACAGGGTGCTGAGGCTAAGGAATCCCAAGATCAGTAGACCGCTGGCTCAAATCCAAAGAAATGGAGGACAGATGATGATGTGCCAGATGCAGGATCCAGATCAAACCAATAGCCAGAGAGCTTTACCAGAACATCCACATCTATTGTATGCACACCACACCCTTGGCTGTGCATAGCAGATTTTATCATGGGGGGGGGGTAACTACATTATTACATAAATGCCAAACTACATCACAACTGGCAAGCCAGAGGATCATGGTCCAGCCAAGTTGACATATAACCTTAACCATCACACCAACACATAAATATAGAAAAAATTACAAAGTTAGAAAATCGTGATTGGATGCCAAAACTCATGGGTAAAAACTTGGTAAGGAATGGTCCACGTATCATTCCACTCATTATTTATTACTTATAAAGAGAAAAGCTGTAGCTTTACAGTGAAGAAACCTGGCAGACCACCTTAACCAAGTTGTCAAAACCAACAACAACAGTAATGAGACAAACCAATGTTATTGGCCTTTTGACATGATGCAGTGGGAAAGAAACATCACCTGGGTGCTGGTCCTCTAAAACGTCATAATCTGAATCTAGTCACAAGGAAATGTCAGACAAACTCACATGGAAGGCCATTCAGCAAAACAGTTGACCTTTAATTATGTCTGGTTCATGAGACATAGATGGATTAAAGGAGATTAATGCAAGCATGACCATTTGAAATATTTTCTAAGCAAGAAATTGCTACTTTCAGGTTCGAGGGTGCAGATCCTTCTCTTACCCCACTGGTTGAGAGCTGTAATTCTATTATTACACCATATCTATTTAAAGCTTTGATCCTTGTTACAATCTACAATAGGTAAATGAATATAGCTGTCTATATATCTATCTGCTTGGGAGAAATGCCTGGTATCAATCTTTATTCCACAGTATGAAATTGTTTATGATGTGAAGCAGTTTTTTCTTTTTTTTTCCTCTCTTTCTTTTTTTTGTCAGGGTAGGAGAAACACAGACTATTACTTGGTGACTGAGACTGGGTCAGGGAATATGGAGGTAGAGGTCAGTAGTGAGGCCAGAATTCAAAATCCCATTGCTTTTTTAAGTGGAAATGGGAGATCCTGGGAGTCGTAATTTCATTTTCGCAGATGTCAAAAAGTCAACTATGACTTTCAAGTGGTTGCTTTACTTGCGTACTTGTAACTGATGGTGGTTACAGTTGCTTAAGATCAAAAAGGTCAGGTGCAAAAAAAAACCCAGCTGTAGAACGCTACAAGATTTCAAACAATACCACTGAGACCTGGGCCCCGGGGATTCTTGCCCTGGAGTTCTTTCCTTCATTGCTGTTGTTAGTTACTGTCTACTCTACTATGCACCTTATGTATAGAAGAACAGAAATGTTGCCCACTCCTGTGGCATCTTCATGATCATCGAAGATTTCAGTCCATTCTTGTGGCTATTGTGTCAATGCACCTCACTGAGAGTTTCCTATTTTTTGCTGACCCTGTAGTTTACCAAATGATGTCATTTTCTAGCAATTAATCTTTCCTTATGACCTGTCCAAAGTAAAACGAAGTCTCTAAGAAGCATTTTGCCTGCATTTCTTCTAACACCGATTTGCTCATTCTTCCGGAAGGCCACGGTATTCACTATTTTTCGTATATATCGAGATGTTGGACGCCCCAACAAGGACTATAAAAGGCTCGATTGTGGAGAAGAGACTCAGTGGCAACTTCAGCCAAGTAGAGTTTCATTTACAGAAGCAGGACACTGAGAGACAATTTACTTCCAGCCTCCCGCTAAGCTACAACCCTTCCGCGGTCACAAACTTTTCCAGTTTGCCCCAAATGCTACTTCCATCAATACACTGAGCCTGCGCCAGCAGTAGTGCGCACGCGTCAATTTCGGCCCAATCGGAATCACAAACCAGAGGGGATGGGCTAACCTCGAGGTGGGGCGGAGTCTCTATGCCGAATAACTGAAGTAATTGGCCGGCCGCGGGATACACATTCCTTTATGGGCGGATCCTCTCCCCGGAGCCACGTCTCATAAACTGTTCTCCTAATTTGGGAAGGGTCGGGCGCAGGCGGGGTGTGGAGTTGAAAGCTGAGCCGTGTGCGCTTGCGCCAAGTTCTGGGACAAGGGTGTGTTCCTGGTTTGGGTTGCCGGTTTTGCACCGAGCGGGCGCATCTCTTGCCACCTGAGTGTACCTTGGGGAAGCGTGTGCTTCCCACTCTCTCAGCTTTTTAGGTGGTGCCCTTCGCGGTGAGTGTGGCGTTGCACTTGGATTTACTACTTTACTTCTCTGCTGCCGAACCAGAATGGTGTTGAACCCTTCCCACTCTCCTGCCCCGGCTGACCCATCCCCCTCCCTGCACCCGGCTCTGCTTAGTGATGCCCACTTTCCAGGGTCAGGGAAGACTGAAGGGTGGCAGCTGGAAGGCTCTTTCTTTTCTCTCCCCGCACCCTCCTGGCCATCGCCCACGTGCTTTGTTGTTGTCGTTGGTACAGATCATGTCTAAGTCTCTGAAAAAGTTGGTGGAAGAGAGCCGGGAGAAGAACCACCCGGAAGTGGACATGAGTGACCGGGGCATCTCCAACATGTTGGATGTTAACGGTTTGTGTAAGTGTTTCATCCCTGCTTTTGGAGGAAGCTGGAGGGGTTTATAAATTTTCCAAGAAACTGTTGGCTCTTGCATGAGAGGTTGTAATAGTTTACAGCGTATCCCCTGCTTGTAAATACCACTTGTCCAGAGCTCAGCTCAGAAAGTTTGCAGTCAACATTTGTCCTGTTCCCACTGGAAAACGAGCCTGAGAATCCAAGGTGAGAATCGCTCAGACAGTTAACTACTCATCAGTTGTCTATGCTGATTACAGCATTTTGGTGGATTTTCTGTCAATTCACTTAATAGCCTCTATTTTTTAACTGAGGAAGGTTTAAACCATTTTTCCTAATATAGTCTTTGGTCCATGAACAAATGCCTCACAAAAGTTACATGATTAATAAGCATTCTTGTTCCGGGAGTATATTTATAATTTTCTTGACTTATTAACTTCTGAATCTTTGTTCTCCTACCTTAGTTCAGGCTTTTCCTATGTCTTTGTGTTACCGTAATGTTTTCCTAAGTTGCCCTCTTGCCTTGTACTTTAGTCACTGTATTGCTTCCAGTGTTATTTTCCTGTTTTATGTTACTCTCTCCCTTTAAACCAGTGATTACAAATTCAGATGCCTTCAGTGGCCAGGTGAAGATGGTCATGAACTCCATATTATGTATCCCATCCAAAGGGCAGTTGCTGCACCTGCTACTCAGTCCCAAACAGTTGTCACCCTGTGGGGACATTGGCCAGTGTTGCCAGATCTTTATTCTTAAGGTAGTTATTGTTAAGGAGAATCCTTAAGAGTCTAAGTTTTTATATGATATTTTCTCATTTTTAAACATTGACAACTAATTCCAATACTTGAGAAACATTTTTTAGGTGAAATAAAACACATTGAGGCTAAACATGACCCTAGTTTAGACCTTATCCTTTAAACACTTCTGCTTATCCGTCACCAACAGTAACATGGTAGTTAAGGTTGTGTGTCAACTTGGTTGCACCTAATTGAGTGGCTGGGCAGCTGGATGTAGTTATTCCCCATGGTGAAATTGGTAATCAGCTACATGGTGGAATCTATTGGAGCAGCTGAGTAGCTGCTTTAGGGATGTGGTCTACTTCCAGTATTTAAGAAGCAACTTTGAGGAAGGTCTCCAGCCTTTTCCTTTTGGCACCCTTGAACCCTGTATGTGGCTGAGTCATTGTTTAGCAGCCTGCTGTGCTCTGTTAATTGTTGGACTTCCAATGGACTTGAATCAATGGCCTGTTGTGTGGTTTGGTAACATTGGGACTGTGCCTTTTTATGTTGACCTCGGGTTTTTCAGCCTCAGCAGCCAACAGCTATCTAAGAGAAGTGAAGCCTCCAGCTTCAATGGGCCAGGAGCAAGAGAGAGCTGAAGCCCAAGGTTGAGGAGGGGCTGTCACCCAGTCCCTAGAGCCTGGCACTTTGAACTTGGACTGAAAGCCTCCATACTGTAATAGAATGAACTCCTATTTGTTAAAGCTATGCCATTTGTGGCATCTTCTATTAGAGTGGCAGTAGGTAACCAAAACAAGTAATGTTTCAAGCTCCTTGGCATGGCATACAAGGCCTTTCTAAATCTGACCATAACCCCCCTTAAGCCCTTAGAGCCTTATTCTTTGCATGCAGTTGGCATTCTGTATTACTGAACATATCACTCTTCCTGAACCAGACCACATTCTTTGAGATCTTGTTGCTTTTACAAGTATTTTTGTCCCCTTCTCTACTTTACTTTACCACAAATATTTTTACTTATCTGTCACTTCAGACAACACAACCTATGTGATGTTCAGACAACACAACCTATCTGTCTGCACTCACCAAGATATCAATATAGTATCTCCCTCCTCTGTGAAGTTGGACATACCTTACTCACTTTCTGGTACATAGGACTGTCGTGTGTGTGTGTGTGTGTGTGTGTGTGTCTAGAAGTCTGTCTTCCCACGGGGATACTGAAAGGACTCAAGCTGTGCAATATTCATGTGCAATGGTTATGCTCTTTATGATAGTGCCTGGAACACATTAAGTGCTCAAAAATGTTTGATGAATGAAGGAAAGAGTGATGGATTAGGCCAGCAAGCTTGTGAAATCCTGACCATGGTGAAAACAGAGGAGATGGGGAGATGTCCCAGAGATCTTTCAGATGATGGCTGGCTTTTTGGGCATGCAGACAGCAGTGTCACATTTTCTGATTCTGTGGTTTACATCTAGGATAGAGATGGGGTTTAGAGCTATTGATTGTTGTTGTTGGATGCTCTCAGGTTGCATCCAACTCATTGCAACACCACATGACAGAGTAGAACGGCCCTAGCGGGTTTTCCAGGCTATGATCTTTAGAGGAACAGATCACCAAGCACTTGGTGCTACTCATACTTATTGCCAAAAGGGAAGGAGATGAAAAGCTATAGACAACTTGCATTTGGTAACTGTGAAGAAGATACATGCCATAAAACTTAGGTTTTATATTAGGTAACATCTCGGCCTCTTGGTCTTTGTTGGCCTCTCAGTGGTGATAGATTGCTTGGTGTCAGCAACAGGACAGATGTCTCTGGTGCTGGCTGTAGAGGATCTGTATGTGCCCCTGTGCCTCCCCTGCCTACCTCTCTTGTTATAGAGGAAGAAGAGGATGAACCAAAAGCAGGAGGCCCAGCATAGCTATACTGGTCCCAGGGCGTTCTGCCTCTTAGCACCTTTTTTCTCATGATGTTGAAGGAAGAAGTTGCTTTCATCAGAGGAACTTTATAATCCTGTTGAAGAGGAGACTTGATGTAATATTTATAAGTTGGGAAAGCAGCATAGCCATTTCATTTCAGCTCCATTATCTCTTTGAAGCTGTGGCTTTTAATGAAGAAGGAAAGATAGCCACTTGCTTCCTGAGGCGGGGGTGGAATTTCTGGTGTAACATTGGGTGGTGAAAAGCACAATCATTCTTAGAGTTTTCCGCAGAAGTAGCTAAGGAAGAGTTTCAGGTGCTTCTTGGGTTTGTTGTTAGATGCCGTTGAGTCTGTTTTGACTAATAGTGACCCCATATGACAGAGTAGAACTGCCCCACAGGGTTTAATTTCTATGGGATTTTTAAAATTTTTATGGGACCAGATTGCCAAGCCTTTCTCCTGTAGAACTTCCAGATGAGTTTGAACCTCCACCCTTTTACTTAGCAGCCAGTGCTTAACCAGCTCTACCAAAACCAAAAACCAAACTCATTGCCATTGAGTCGATTCCAACTCATAATGACCCCCATTGGATTCCCAAGGCTGTAAATCTTTGTGGAGTGGCTGGTGGGTTTGACCCACTGACCTTCTGGTTAGCAGCCAAATACCTTATCCACTACTCTACCAGAGCTCCTTATTGCTCTACCAGGCTACCAAGGCTCCTTTTTTTTTTAATTTATGAAATGCTTTTTTGCTTTTCACAATAGTGGTCTCATACAATATTTGTCCTTTTGTGATTGACTAATTTCACTCAGCATAATGGCCTCTAAATTTATTCATGTTTCTCAGATTCATCATTGCTGTTTAATGCTGTGTAGTATTTCATTGTGTGTATGTACCATAGTTTGTTGATCCATTCCTCTGTTGATGGGAATTTAGGTTGTTTCCATCTTTTTGTTGTTGTGAATAGTTCTGCGATGAACATGGGTGTGCATGTATCTGTTCGTGTCAAGATGCTTATTTCTCTAGTAGTGGGATTCTTGGATTACATGCTATTTCTATTTCTACCTTTTTAAGGAAGCATCTTAATTCTTTCCACAGTGGTTGCACCATCTTACAGTCTCACCAGCAGTGTATAAGAATTCCAGTCTCTGCACATCCTCAACAGCATTTGTTGTTTCGTTTTTTTTGAACTTTGCTATTAGTGCTGGAGTGAGGTGATATCTCATTGTTGTTTTGATTGGTGTCACTCTAATGGCTAATGATCATGTGCATTTCTTCATGTGTTTGTTAGCTGCCTGAATGCAGGGCTCCTTCTTGAGAGGTTCAGTGGAAGTGAACTTGGAGATTCTACTTTCTCCTGCCTCCATCGTGTAGTCACAGGGAGTGACACCTTTCCTTGTGAGTCACCTGGGACCTGGGGTTTCCAGGATGCTCTTCTGAAGCCCATTCCTCCACTGAGGCTCATTTAGAAATAGTGCATATAATATTTAGCCTGTAACTGTGAAAGAAAGTTACTGCCACTCAGTATGAATCTATCTCTGTAGCACCTCGCCATTGGACCTGATGTATGTTGGCAAAGACGTGAAGTTTAACCCCCTGGAAAACCCGATTGTCCTCAAGTTGATCCTGACTCACAGGACAGAGTAGATCTTCCTCATAGAGTTTCCAAGGCTGCAAATCTGTACAGAAGCAGACTGCCACATCTTTCTCCCTCACAGCAGCTGGTGGGTTTGAACTGGCAACCTTTCAGTTAGCAGCTAAGCACATAACCACTGCTCCACCAGGGCTCCTTTATAAGATATAAATATATTAAAATATTTGACATGGTTAAATTTAATGTGGTATAAGAAAACATATTTCCTCAATTAAAAAATTTTAACTGTAACCATGAAGTTTGATATGTTGTCATCAACATTAAACACAGGGAACAATTAAATAGTAAAGAGAATGGTTATTTCTTGCATCTTAAACTTTTCCTTCATAATCTTTCCTTTGTTTACTTTTTCTAAAAACATGCAGGAATTAAGTTTGAAGATAAGAACGAAGGCTTTGGACTTACTCTAAGCATATGGAGTATCTGTCTTTCTGCTTGACCGAGTTTTATGTTGTAAATGCAGCACTTTACTTCCTCTGAGACTTCAAAAAATGTTTTCAGAAATTTAGTTACCCAAAGTTTTCTTATGGGGAAAACTTCTTAGGCTTGAGGCAGACAACAGACAGATTCTTGAGTTTGTTGGTTTGTTTTGCATTTTTAGGTTTTACAGTTTTCAGTGTGTCTAACAGATTCTAGATGTGGTCAGTCCTACCCTAAGATGCAAAAGAATACAATTGTGGTGTTAGATGGGCTAGGTT